AATCCGGCCCATTTTATCTCTTCTGCTACGTTAGTTTTTTTTAATGCTGCTCTTTGCAGGCCATTTTTAATTGCAATAATTAAACGTCAAATTAAATCCTAAATTCCGCGGTGGAATTAATTCAATTGGCGTGACAGTCAAAGTGAAATGGCGAATAAAACACCGCAATTGCACAAGGCCGCTAGGGCTCTTCCATAAATGCCATTGCCAGGCTCTACAATCCAAGAGGAATGCTGTGATTGTTTTCCGTCAATTCGGTCTCGCAGTCTACTCTTATAATTCGCCAGCCATTTAATGAGCCACGCTCGACTTGCCACCAAGAATGCAATCAGCAGGGAGGGTCGCAAACAGGATGCAAGGATAAACAGCCGGGACCTTAGTTCCCAGCAAGGAGCCAGGAACCGGCACAATTTGCGTTAAGCGAGTCGTGAAAAATGAAGTACGAAATTGAAGTTGGCAGCCAGCGTGTCCGGTTGCGCCTTGCACTTATTATACCCTTGCAGAGGGTATTATAATTTTGGTCAAAAGTGTGCAACGCAGTGAAGGAGACATCTCCGACCCTATAAAGTATATATATTCTTGATCAGGATCACCTCCTGAGTTGATATAGCCATGTCCGTCTGTCCGTCTGTCCGTCTGTCCGTCTGTCCGTCTGTCCGTCTGTCCGTCTGTCTGTTTCTACGCAAACTAGTCTCTCAGTTTTAAAGCTATCGGATTGAAACTTTGCACACACCCTTCTTTCCTTTGCACGCAGTATATAAGTCGGAACGGCCGGGATCGGCCGACTATATCCTATAGCTGCCATATAACTGATTGATCGGAAATGCCATAACTTTCGTGTTTGTAAAGTTAGGAAGTTGGGATTTTCTATGGGTTTTATATTTGGCCAATCAATCCGACCTACCAAATTTCATAAGGATCGGCCGACTATATCCTATAGCTGCCATATAACTGATTGATCGGAAATGCCATAACTTTGGTGTTTGTAAAGTTAGAAAGTTGGGATTTTCTATGGGTTTTATATTTGGCCAATCAATCCGACCTACCAAATTTCATAAGGATCGGCCGACTATATCCTATAGCTGCCATATAACTGATTGATCGGAAATGCCATAACTTTGGTGTTTGTAAAGTTAGAAAGTTGGGATTTTCTATGGGTTTTATATTTGGCCAATCAATCCGACCCACCAAATTTCATAAGGATCGGCCGACTATATCCTATAGCTGCCATATAACTGATTGATCGGAAATGCCATAACTTTGGTGTTTGTTAAGTTAGGAAGTTGGGATTTTCTATGGATTTTATTTTTGGCCAATCAATCCGACCTACCAAATTTCATAAGGATCGGCCGACTATATCCTATAGCTGCCATATAACTGATTGATCGGAAATGCCATAACTTTGGTGTTTGTAAAGTTAGGAATTTGGGATTTTCTGTGGGTGTTATATTTGGCCAATCAATCCGACCTACCAAATTTCATAAGAATCGGCGGACTATATCCTATAGCTACCATATAACTGAACGATTGGAAATGCCATAACTTTGTTGTTGTTAAAGCTAGGAAGTTCGGATTTTTTATGAGTATTAAGAATGCATCATATGAATAATTTTGGAGAATATAATTTACAGAGTATTCTGCAAGGGTATATCAACTTCGGCTCCGCCCGAAGTTAGCTTTCCTTTCTTGTTTATTTATTTAATTCTGGCTATTTCCTCTGCTTACGTACAGTGCTGGGCTATTATCCTACGATGATTTTGAAGCACTTTCTCGGGGAGTTGAATTCAAGCGAGTGACGAATCGCGAACGCGTCCACTTTCGGCACTAGTGTGTGAGAGCTGCGAACTGGCGCGACCGTCAGCGTTGCGCACTAAAACCATACTAAACTAATTTGCTTAGCAGGACGCACTGATTACACAAAGTCCTCGAAGGGCGATAATCGCCGCCATTCGTCAGGAGTGCCGAGTGCCGAGCGCACTTCGGCTCGGAGTTCGAGGAGTTCGGCTGGGACTCGCGAAGTTGCCGAAACGAGACGAAGGCCAAAAGCCAAGAGAGCCCAGTCCCCAAAGAGAGCACCAGAGCCAGGGCACTGTTAAGAGGTTAACAGTGCGGTAGCAGGTTAAGAAATCAACGCAGTCACCATGGGTTAAGGTAACAAAGTTAGCCTCGTGGCCAGAAATAATGGCTCTATTTTAAAGCGAATCATCAAAAAGAACTTTCAATAGGCCAATCTACTCTTCATCTTATTACTGACTGATTTATTAGTAACTGTTTTTACTAATTTATCGATTTAAATGCAAAAATTGAACACAAATTCCGTGCCAGCTAGCCGGCATTCCCCCATGATGACCGAGCTTTCAATCATTTAAAATTCCCCAAGCACACACTCGCGCAACGAACTCTTCTCTCATCAATGCAAAAATCAAACATTATTTATGCAAATTACAAACCATTATTATTAAAGCCAACAACCACAAAGGCAGTAATAGTAACAGTAACAGTCTGAGGAGGAGGAGGAGAAGGAAGGGAAGAGGGGCTCCGACCAACAGTCATATCCGTCATAGTCCTGTGGGGAGGTTAAGGGGGAAACTGCCAATGCTTTGGGGAACCAATTTGGCAGCCGGCATAAATAAATTTTTACTTAATGTAGGTCAGTAATGTGTGCTGCACTCTCTCTGCTGTGAGCTCTCTTTTCAGCGTGCGCCACTCTTTAGCCCTCTCTTCAGTCGCGACGCCACTAAATATGCTACTAAAGTTGCTTCTTTTCCGGCTGCGTGTGTGTGGGCGTTCGGGAAGTGCCATCAAGCCTCAAAGGACCGGGAATGCTTGCATAATACAAACAGCCAATGATATTGTCATGATTCGTTGAATAATTTTCAATGCAGTTGTGCCAACATTTTCAAACAATAAAAAGCTAGGCCCTTTTTAGCTTAAAGCAGGGCCTGGTAGTGTCTTAACACATCAATTTTACTGGTAATTTCTAGATTCCATTACACACAAGTATAACTTAGTTAATCTTTTTCTCTTCCTCTATTGCAGACAATTTAGAATTAGAGAACGAGCATTCAAATTAAAATATAATGTGACTTAATATGTACGAGGTGTGTTCAAAAAGTAAGGTGACTTTTCAAATTTCGCGGGCAACATATTTTCGATTATCGATTTTTTTGTTTTGTTATATTGGTACACTCTTCCCTAACATCTGTACCAAGTTTCAATGGAACATCCTCTTTTGTTTGGTTGTGAGAGGCGTAAAGTTACAAGTTATTTTGCGAGCTCGGCGATTTTTTGCTATCGAAAAATATGGATCAAAGGATTTGCATCAAATTTTGTGTAAAAAATAAAATTAAGTGCTCTGAAACACTTGAAATGTTGACAGTGGCATACGGTGAAACTGTTCTGAGAAAAAAAATGTGTACAAGTGGTACAAACTCTTCCAAGATGGCCGGGAAGATGCCAATGACCAGCCTCGCTCTGGACGCCCAAGCACGTCAACAACTGATGAAAACGTTCAAGCAGTGACGAAAATTGTTTTGGAAAATCGTCGAATCACTATCAGAGAAGTTGCTGAAGATGTCGGTATATCGCTTGGCTCGTGCCATGAAATTTTTTCAAACGTTTTGGGTATGAGTCGTGTGTCAGCGAAGTTTGTTCCGAAATTGCTGAATTTTGACCAAAAGAACCGTCGCATGAGCATCGCTCAAGAGCTGTTGAATGACGTCAACGACGACCCAGATTTACTCAAAAGGGTCATAACTGGTGACGAATCATGGGTATATGGTTATGATATCGAAACCAAAGCCCAATCGTCCCAATGGAAGAGCCCAGGCGAGCCAAGACCGAAAAAAGCACGCCAAGTTCGATCAAATGTCAAAGTTTTGATCACTGTTTTCTTCGATTACCATGGCGTGGTGCATCAGGAGTTCTTACCATATGGTCGTACGGTCAATAAACAGTATTATCTGGAAGTTATGCGCCGTTTGCGAGAAGCAATACGAAAGAAACGTCCAGAATTGTGGAAAAACAATTCATGGCTTTTGCATCACGATAATGCCCCTGCTCACTCATCTTTGCTTGTGAGAGATTTTTTGGCCAAAAACAACACCACAATAATGCCTCAGCCACCATATTCACCGGATTTGGCCCCATGTGACTTTTTCTTGTTCCCAAAACTGAAGAGACCTATGAAAGGACGGAGATTTGCAACGATTGAAGAGATAAAGACTGCATCGCTGCAAGAGCTCAAGGCTATACCGAAAAGTGCTTATGGGAAGTGCTTTGAGGATTGGAAAAACCGTTGGCATAAGTGTATTGTATCTGAGGGGGATTACTTTGAAGGGGACAACATAAATATTGATAAATAAATTAATAGTTTTTCTTGAAAATACAAAGTCACCTTACTTTTTGAACACACCTCGTATGTCTGGTGGAAAAACAGTTTTATTTGCTCTTTAGATAGACAAAACCAGAGTCTTTATTAATTGTGTGATTCGAGCAACTCAGATTACCACCACAAACTGCAGTGATCACAGGCTTATGACAAAACTGGACCGTGTGACAGTGTATGCCATTTTCGATCGCTACTATAATATTTAAAATTTATTCTTAACAAATATCTGAATACGTTAAAAAACATCGAGGTTCGGAGAATTTGGGTTTTATTTTAGTATAAGTATTCGGATTTTTCCTATGTCAGCTGCTTTTTAAACGTGTCTAAATGTTCAATCCTAATTTTTTATTAGCAGAAAAGCCATACATATATTTTGTTTCGCAACATCGGAAATAGGTATCTGAAAAAATAATCCTTCTTGGTTAGTGATACTCCTCTTAATTTGTTTAATGTTCGACGATTAGAAGCACTTGTTTCAATTCGTGCGTATTCGTTAATATTGAAAAACGTATAAAATGTCTATTAGTGTAATATAACAACAATAAATATACGTTAACAAATTCATTTAAAGCTGGTTTAATTAATTGAATGTATATGTTATGTTACTTACATTTTTTATAAAGAGCAACAAGGCTGACTTAAAAATGTTAGCATAATAATATTCTCGGCCTTAGCTTAGCTTAAAAGTCACTGACCAATAAACTTAACTTCAGTTTGAAGTTAACAAGAAGCGAGTGGTTGAGTGATATCCATCCCCAGCACAGTGGTTGCATATGCCAGTGGCAACATAAATAAAATAGGATACCGAAACAGAGTCAACCGACTAAACGCCAAACTCGGTTGGTTTCCCATGGATTTTTGCGTAAGTTTAGCTCTTCTCACAGTCCTGGTCCGCCCTCCCCCCGCTGCCTCATCATCATATCCTGAGACCCGCACAAAAACGTCTCCTTGTAACGCATCCTGCAACGCAAGTTGGTCCAAATTTATGTACAAACTCACTTAGGCAAGAATGTTTATGCGTTTTGTACGTGTTGGTTACTGTCGCTCATGTGGAGAGCATCCTCCACATTCCTACCTTACCATCTCATCCCTCCGAAAGCCACTCGTTTATTTTGGCATTTCTACGAATTTTTTGGGGAAATTTTGTAATTCTGTTCTGTGTTCTGAATGTTGTCTCTAGGGAGGAGATGGGGATGCCAGAGGGAAATACGTTCTCACGCACACTGAAAAGTGTTATGAAATTTGTCTTCTCTAATGACCTAAATGCAAAGGAATTTATCCAGCATTTGAGCTAATTGCTATTGCATTTGGTACAATTTAAATTTCGGAAATTAAACAGCAGTCTTCTTCATTGTTAGGGAACTCCATTCGCAAGGGGAACGGGTAGAATCTGTAGTCTACTACTTACTTCACTATTTAAAGTTTACTTTATCCGTTAAGCAAACGGGTAAAATCAGTAGTATTACAGTAAAGGTAAACAACTCTTGATTATTATCGAGTATTTTACTTTTCTATTTAATGTGAGCAAATAAAATAATTAATTTGCAATAAAAAAGTTAATTTTGTCAAACAGGTGAGAGATTAAATCACAACTGGAATATTCTCGAACAGTTAATAGCAGTTAAACATCCAACTACCAACATTTCAGCAGTCGGAGTACTTGCATTTTTATAAATTTCTCTAGGGCAGTCTTGAGAGTCGGCACTTGAAATCTGCCACACTTTGACAATTTTACCATTTTCTTTCGCAGCCGTTTTCCCTTGATCACTACGGCTGAAAACTATACTTGGCAGTTGCAAGAGGGCCAATTATCTGGCACCCCGCGCGGCGGTTTCTTTCCAGCTATTTACATATAATTAGCGCCCAACTGGAAGGCCGCAGCATCGTTGTTCGCCACTCTCGTTCTCAGTATTTGCACGACGCAGTTTTTGAGCTTTTCCTTGCAGTTTCCCACTTCTACTTTTCCTCACGGAATTCTCTTCACCAGCATGGCCAACTTTGACAATGAAGTTGCAATCATGACGATGCCAAAAAATTGGAGCCAGAGCGAATAAATAAGAAAACCATACCCAGCTGCAGTTCCAAAGTTACCCTAGTAGTATCAAGTCAGAAATACCATCTTCTAAGCTATTTGAAGGTGCAGAAAATAGATCGGAAACACATTGTAAGAGGGAAGATGTGCGAGTAAATCACTCACTTTTTGGCAATTAACAGTAAATTTTTATGTAATTAAATATGTGAATGGGAACACTTTACTATCAGGCCACAAATTTCATTTTTTTAATTTTTGTCTGGAACAGAGTTTACAATTCGCTTAGTAGAATCGTCAACAAGATTTTAAAAGCCGTCATGGATCCCAATAAATCGGTCTCATAAACATTTCGGACACCCCATTTAATTTGAAAAGCAGAAGTACATAATACCCTGGCAATGCCGGGTATATGAACGGCAGAAAAAGTTTTCCCGGCTCATAGTAGTTGCCATCGAGGCGCCAACTTAATAAGGCCACCAAAGCGCCGAGTGGGTGGGAATGCGAGAATGCAAAGCAGTGGGCTACAAAAGGGAATTCTGGCTGTAGACAAGAAAAGTGAGGCTTCCTTCGTGGCAACACTTTCCACAAAGCAGGCTTAGAGCGGGAAATATTCCGACTGATTGCACCGAGATGGAGACCGTGGAGCAAACAAAATCAAACTCTCGAATGGTAAAGGCTGGTGCCCAGACATCCGTCAATTGCAACTCTTTTTGGCAGACAGACAGTTCGGATATTGTTTGTTGGATCAGCAATAAGTGAAACCAGCCCGGCGTATTCGTAATGGAGCTTATCGACGAACGATAGTAAGCTCTGGCCTTTTTCATTTTTGATTCGCCACTCGCAGGTTCCACCATAATTACCCAGTCATCTGTGGCGGTCATTTTCATTAGCTGGCATCATGGGCGACGGGCCAGAAGCCACAACAACAACAGCAGCCTTATGCCACGAATCGAGTGGAGCGTTGTTCAAGAACATCAAGTCTGCCCATAGGTAATTTCGCGGATGTTGTGCTGCTGGCTCAGCAACTGTTTTGGCAGCCAACTGCAGTCAAAACCAATTATGTGAGGCCGTTGGCGAATCTCTGGGAGACATGCCCCTAGACTGGTTACCTGTAATCTGGTGGAACCAAATAAAACCAGGGGTGAGGAAAAATTATGTGTTGTTATTTTTTTCGCTTAACGTATATAATAAAAACAGTGCATAATATTAAGTCATAAGAGGGTAATCATCTATGTTTGCACTTGTCTGGTCTTCCGCAAACACAATATTTATCCACGCAGGTGAACTGGTGTTTTTTGGTACAGATAAAGACACCTGTGCGCATTACCCTTCTGCCTTTAAGGGCCAGCTCACATTCTAAGTGTCCTCCACAAAAATTACCAGCTGTGAATATTGCGTAAGTATTACACATCAGGAAGAGCACCCATAACAAACTCATTGCTCTTCGTTGGTATTCCGCTGCCCTGGAATATTCAATCCTAACGAATTTAGGGACTATGAGATAAGTTTGTAACTAGACAAGCGATAAGAGTCGCCAGTCCGCATATTGTAACCAGATTTACATTTAGTAAAAGCGTGAATAAATCAATTTTGTACAGTTTTCTATGACTTAATTAATTACTTATATATGCTGTTTGTATAGATGCAGAACTGAAAATCTGTTATTCTAAAGCTCTTTTTTTTCTAAACATTTTTTGTCAATTGGTTTTGGAGAAATTATGGTGAAGGTTATAAAATTATTTAAAGTATTGAAAGTAATTTAGATAATAGCATTTTTTCCTTTTTTTGAACCTAGAAATTTTGCTCAAGTGCTTGGATTTATTTTTATTTTATTTCTAGGACTTTTGAAAACATCTATACAAAGTGAGTTGGTTTTTATAAAAGACCTTACTTATTTAATTCATTATTTAAATTTTTTATAGATTTTTGTTGCACTTAGTTTCTATTTTGATATAAAGGTGATGATAAGTTACTAATTTACTAAGATAAATATAAAACTATAGCTAAGAATTAGTTTACTAAATATTACACACGTGCAACTGTTTTTTTTTTAGGAACAGTTTACATATCCTGTTTTCTCATTCAGCGCTATAAATATTTGGCTAAAGCTGACTGAAAATAAAGTTTTAGAAAATGCTTTTATTCGATCGAATGTATAATCATTTTTCGTCGAAAAATGTTATATACGAAATTTGGTATGTTTAAGATGTGATCCTCATCACTTTTCAACCTCTTTGAGAGCTGTTTTTATACCCGTTACTCGTAGAGTAAAAGGTAAAAAAAGTAAAAATGCAGTTTTATTGTGTTTATCAATACCTATCGAAATGTAGAAGAAATTTTTCAAATCGGACCATTCGTTAAAAAGTTATGCGTGATCAAAGTTTCTATCTCCATCCCCCTCGCACTCCCTTTACCTAAGTAACGGGTATCTGATAGTCGGGGCACCCGACTATAGCGTTCTCTCTTGTTTTTAATATACATGTTAAATTTCTGATTCGTGTATTTAATTTACTAAATATGGTTATTTGGCAAAAGGGAAGACACCTATGTAGGGAAGAAACGAATATATTTCTATAAAGCGGCACAAATCAGTAAAATTGTACTTTTTTTCAATGTGTACTGTAAAACTTATATTTAAACTAGCTTTTCGTAATCAGTCTATGAAATTAAAATTTCACGTTAATAAAATGGAATTTCCGGTGACACCGTTTGTTGCATGTTTTAGGACTGCGATTTGGTACTTGAATAAATTTCTAGGCGGTCGGCAATGGTTCTCTTAAAGACGTATGTTAAAGTTTCGAGGCTTGCTATATGAAATAAAATACTATTAATACTATTAAGAAAATAACTTCGAGGGTGATTTTAAAACAGAAGTTATTTATCAATAAGAGACAATTAATTTTAATCTCTCGAAAAGAAAATTCTCAATAAAACATTAGACAAGAATGTAAAAAGTAAAAATGAGCTCTTGGAGGTGTACAAAATGTCTGTCTGCATGCGGAACGTGCTGTCAATACAAGTATTGCATCGACTTCGATAAATGCCAGAAGGGTTGCAAAAGGAATGAAAAACACATTTTTTTTTGCATTTGCAAGCGTTTACTGAACGTGATTGGAGTTATTTATCGACCATATATTTGCTTCACATCGACATCTAGAAACTATTTTTACAAGGTAGGGTCATCAATTCAGGTCCTTTTCGGTAATTTTTTCACGTGGATTTAACAAAATTTGTTTGTGATAAAAATCAATAAAACCTTAATTACCCAAAATAGATTTTAATAATTTTATAATAAGCATTACATTTCTTTGTAAGGAAGAACTAAAAGATCATTTATTTAATGCTCGCCCAAACATCTGGGTCCTCAAACGATTTTACAGTTCTTTGAACTACTATAATAGTGTTATATTAAAAACAAGAAAGGAAAGCTAACTTCGGACGGAGCCGAAGTTGATATACCCTTGCAGAATATTCTGTAAATTATATTCTTCAAAATTATTCATATGGTGTATTCTTAATACTCATAAAAAGTCCCAACTTCCTAACTTTAAAAACACCAAAGTTAAGGCATTTCCAATCGTTCAGTTATATGGTAGCTATAGGATATAGTCGGCCGATCCTTATGAAATTTGGTAGGTCGGATTGATTGGCCAAAAATGGGTTTTAACCCATAGAAAATCCCAACTTGATAACTTTACAAACACCAAAGTTATGGCATTTCCGATCAATCAATTATATGGCGGCTATAGGATATAGTGGCCCGGTCCGGCTCGTTCCGACTTATATACTACCTGCAATAGAAAGACAACGTTTGGGAAAATTTCAAGCAGATAGCTTTAAAACTGAGGGACTAGTTTGCGTAGAAACGGACGGACGGACGGACAGACGGACGGACAGACGGACATGGCTAGATCGACTCTCCTGGTGATGCTGATCAAGAATATATATATTTTATAGGGTCGGAAATGTCTCCTTCACTGCGTTGCAAACTTTTGACTGAAATTATAATACCCTCTGCAAGGGTATAAAAATCGCCTATTAGCTTTAAAGTACTTTTTGCATTTAGATTTTAAACAAGAAAGGAAAGCTAACTTCGGGCGGAGCCGAAGTTGATATACCCTTGCAGAATACTCTGTAAATTATATTCTCCAAAATTATTCATATGATGCATTCTTAATACTCATAAAAAATCCGAACTTCCTAACTTTAACAACAACAAAGTTATGGCATTTCCAATCGTTCAGTTATATGGCAGCTATAGGATATAGTCGGCCGATCCTTATGAAATTTGGTAGGTCGGATTGATTGGCCAAAAATAAAATCCATAGAAAATCCCAATTTTCTAACTTTACAAACACCAAAGTTATGGCATTTCCGATCAATCAGTTATATGGCAGCTATAGGATATAGTCGGCCGATCCTTATGAAATTTGGTAGGTCGGATTGATTGGCCAAAAATAAAATCCATAGAAAATCCCAATTTTCTAACTTTACAAACACCAAAGTTATGGCATTTCCGATCAATCAGTTATATGGCAGCTATAGGATATAGTCGGCCGATCCTTATGAAATTTGGTAGGTCGGATTGATTGGCCAAATATAAAACCCATAGAAAATCCCAACTTTCTAACTTTACAAACACCAAAGTTATGGCATTTCCGATCAATCAGTTATATGGCAGCTATAGGATATAGTCGGCCGATCCTTATGAAATTTGGTAGGTCGGATTGATTGGCCAAATATAAAACCCATAGAAAATCCCAACTTCCTAACTTTACAAACACGAAAGTTATGGCATTTCCGATCAATCAGTTATATGGCAGCTATAGGATATAGTCGGCCGATCCCGGCCGTTCCGACTTATATACTGCGTGCAAAGGAAAGAAGGGTGTGTGCAAAGTTTCAATCCGATAGCTTTAAAACTGAGAGACTAGTTTGCGTAGAAACAGACAGACGGACAGACGGACATGGCTATATCAACTCAGGAGGTGATCCTGATCAAGAATATATATACTTTATAGGGTCGGAGATGTCTCCTTCACTGCGTTGCACACTTTTGACCAAAATTATAATACCCTCTGCAAGGGTATAATATGAAACTGCAATTTCAATTGGAGGCAGAAGCTTTTTTGAACCAAATTCAAAATTATAATTGGAGAACATATATTTAGAAACAATAGTAACATAAAAAAATGATTTACTATTGCTAACTGGATTATATGTCGAGTGAGTAAGTTTTACTGTAACTTTATTGCAACGAAAATACTATTAAATATAAATTTATGGTTTAATTTCGGGCAATTACCTGAATTTACCTTATCCAAGCTCACATTTATGTACACTATTGTTTATCCTGAGCTAGTAATCATAGCCTTAGTCATCACACTATAGTCATTAAAAAAACACGTATTGTAACAAACAAAAATAGTATAATTTGGAGTGTAAAGAGATACCGGCTACCTGCTATAAGTTCGCGATTGTTAATTCCAAAAATAAGTATTGAAATTTGTGAGGACTAACTGCAGGTAAATAAGATTATTTTACAAATAATTGTAAACAAGTTTAAGGTAGAAAAGCGAACATCATTCTTTGTGGTCTTTTTATAAGAAAATAAGAAAACAAAAAATTGTACTTCATCTCCCCAGTTTAATATCGACACATTGATGGAAGTCTTGACATTTGCAATTGCTGTGCATTTTATTGACTTCCATTCCCAGGGCTTCTTCTCCCAGTTTTTCGAGCTATCCATCAATGTTAATTGTTCATGAGTTGGGTATATGTGTGTATGTGTTCGCTTTAAATTGCCCTCGAAAATTTTGCAGCCAGAAATCATTTAATGGAAAAGTTTACTACAATTGAATCAACACCCACAGACTATTTTTCTCTGATGCTTTTGTTAGCTGCTTCTTTTGATCCTTTTTCATTTAATGGAAGCAAAAAGTCGAATTGAATTTTGTTTGGAAATTTGCACTTATACAACGACCAAAAAATACGTCCCTGACTCGACCTATCAATTCAAGCTGACCCAACAGTTTCCGAAATTGCCTGACTCCAATTAGCTCCATAAAGTTTAATTTTTAATTTATGCATTTTTATTTTCCACTACAGCAGCAAAAATATGTGAAAATGCAATAAAAAATGGCGATTGAGAGAGTGAGCCGAAAGAGTAGAAAAAATTATTCATAATAGTTGGAATGGCTTCCGAGTTGCCAACTGGTTGGCAACCAGCCAATGGATTATTGAATAGGGAGAAGGCAAGAAACGGCTTAGTCCCGAACTGCAGAGAAATGTTGAACTTGTTGCCATTTGTCTAAAGTCGGCCGCCTGTCCACACAATGATAAACTGTATTTCCTTAGCGGACCTATCTTTCATTTCAAAAGATTGACTAATATTCATTAGTACTATTAAATAGGATAATACACATCTTTATATTTTCGATTAAGGGCACTTCCTGTACAGTCCAAAGAAAAATTGTATTTTGTTTTCACTTAATTTCTGAGATAAGGGATATTTTGATTTCAATAATAGTTCTTAAGATTTATGTATGAGGTCCTACAATTTTGAGGAAACATCCTATTGCAAAGTTTAATTACTCTTCTTAAAAAGGTAATGATTTTTTAAGTGAACTTTTAATAAGGCCACTTCGGGCAACACCAAATTAAATTTACATATTGGCATAGAGTCCCCTAATTCTTTTATGCACTTTTCACAAAGTAATTATGTATAACTACAGGGTATTAAATTTTTGGTTTGCCATAGTTTTTATACCCTTGCAGAGGGTATTATAATTTTGGTCAAAAGTGTGCAACGCAGTGAAGGAGACATCTCCGACCCTATAAAGTATATATATTCTTGATCAGGATCACCTCCTGAGTTGATATAGCCATGTCCGTCTGTCCGTCTGTCCGTCTGTCCGTCTGTCCGTCTGTCTGTCCGTCTGTCTGTCCGTCTGTCTGTTTCTACGCGAACTAGTCTCTCAGTTTTAAAGATATCGAATTGAAACTTTGCACACACCCTTCTTTCCTTTGCACGCAGTATATAAGTCGGAACGGCCGGGATCGGCCGACTATATCCTATAGCTGCATTTAACTGATTGATCGGAAATGCCATAACTCTGCTGTTTGTTAAGTTAGGAAATTGAAATTTTATATGGGTTTTATATTTGGCCAATCAATCCGACCTACCAAATTTCATAAAGATCGGCCGACTATATCCTATAGCTGCCATATAACTGATTGATCGGAAATGCCATAACTTTGGTGTTTGTGAAGTTAGGAAGTTGGGATTTTCTATGGGTGTTATATTTGGCCTATCAATCCGAACTACCAAATTTCATAAGGATCGGCCGACTATATCCTATAGCCACCATATAACTGATTGATCGGAAATGCCACAACTTTGGTTTTTGTTAAGTTAGGAAGTTGGGATTTTCTATGGGTTCTATTTTTAACCAATCAATCCAACCTATCAAATTTCATAAGGATCGGCCGACTATATCCTATAGCTGCCATATAACTGAACGATTGGAAATGCCATAACTTTGGTGTTTTTAAAGTTAGGAAGTTGGGATTTTTTATGAGTATTAAGATTGCATCATATGAATAATTTTGGAGAATATAATTTACAGAATATTCTGCAAGGGTATATCAACTTCGGCTCCGCCCGAAGTTAGCTTTTCTTTCTTGTTTTTTATAAAAATATATTATTTAAAAAAACAAACAAACTCGTTATACATGTCACTTTTTAAGGTCAATGAATTATTTAAATTTATAGCTTAACGAAAAAAAGTGGGTTTAAGCCGGTTTTTAAATGCTTTTTGCCAACTTGAATTCGAGTGATTCGCCTCGAACCCTCCATAAATTTCATTCATAGAAGCGCCATCTTTTAATTTTTGGCAGAATTTTCAAAATAATAAATATATTTTTTATTCGTACTTATGTATATATTATAGATTAGTAGTTTGACAGTATTTGTCCTTGTCCTTACCGAAAGATTAAATTCCTTCTCATTTTTGGCAATTTAAATTCAAAGATAACTGGCAAGAGCGTATACATTAACATGTTGGTGTAAAATGACAATTAAAAAATGGCCGAAGCATTTTAGGAATATGGAAAATTGTTCTAAGAATTCTTGAGTTGGTGTAGATGCTTGGCTACATGATTTATTTTAAGATGTATACTCTTGCAGAGTAAAGAGTTTGGAACGCAGTGATGCAGACATCACCAGCATCACTAGGAGAGTCGATCTAATCCGTTGCAAACTTGTCTCTTTATAACTAAGCTGAATACAACTTTTTCAAAAGCCTTTTTATACCCTTGCAGAGGGTATTATAATTTTGGTCAAAAGTGTGCAACGCAGTGAAGGAGACATCTCCGACCATATAAAGTATATATATTCTTGATCAGGATCACCTCCTGAGTTGATATAGCCATGTCCGTCTGTCCGTCTGTCCGTCTGTCCGTCTGTCTGTTTCTACGCAAACTAGTCTCTCAGTTTTAAAGCTATCGAATTGAAACTTTGCACACACCCTTCTTTCCTTTGCACGCAGTATATAAGTCGGAACGGCCGAGATCGGCCGACTATATCCTATAGCTGCCATATAACTGATTGATCGGAAATGCCATAACTTTGCTGTTTGTAAAGTTAGGAAGTTGGGATTTTCTATGCGTGTTATATTTGGCCAATCAATCCGACCTACCAAATTTCATAAGGATCGGCCGACTATATCCTATAGCTGCCATATAACTGATTGATCGGAAATGCCATAACTTTGGTGTTTGTAAAGTTACGAAGCTGGGATTTTCTATGGGTTTTATATTTGGTTAATCAATCCGACCTACCAAATTTCATAAGGATCGGCCGACTATATCCTATAGCTGCCATTTAACTGAACGATTGGAAATACCATAACTTTGGTGTTTGTAAAGTTAGGAAGCTGGGATTTTCTATGGGTTTTATATTTGGTTAATCAATCCGACCTACCAAATTTCATAAGGATCGGCCGACTATATCCTATAGCTGCCATTTAACTGAACGATTGGAAATGCCATAACTTTGGTGTTTTTAAAGTTAGGAAGTTGGGATTTTTTATGAGTATTAAGAATGCATCATATGAATAATTTTGGAGACTATAATGTACATAATATTCTGCAAGGGTATATCAACTTCGGCTCCGCCCGAAGTTAGCTTTCCTTTCTTGTTTTATTGCAGATTGTATAAAAGTCTGATCGGGCCTGATCAGATGACTATAAAAAAATAATGCCTTTTTTGTTTTTAAGTATAAATTGATAGATTCGTAACATAGCAGTCTAAATAAATTTCGAATTTCTGTTTTCATTTTTTTAAAAACGGTCGTAAAAATGTATTGCATAATCAACATAGCTTCATCTTTGTGCAAAAATTCAAATGTGCTTGTTTTTATAATAGTTAGTTTTGGTATAAGCTGCTAGGTATTTATTTAATACTATTTAAGCATCGGCTTGCCGAAGTTTGCTTTCTTTCTTGTTACAAATAAATTTAAGTTCTTAGAAATAATTTCAATTCTTAAGAATAAGTTTTGGTAATTAATAAACTAAAAAAAAAAAAATTTTATTTACTTTTATGATAACTAGGTATTATTCCACTAATTTTCTAAGTGTAGAATGTATTGTACTTAAATCGTACTTAAGCCGCAGCATTTTATTTCTTTAGTTTAGTATTTCGAGATAACTAGATTCAGCACATAGTACTAGATTTCTTTTTCTGAGTGTAGCACCAAGAGTCAATCAATAATGTGTTTTCTAGCCTTACTGTCAGTCCTCTTAGTGCAAACAATAAATGAAAAGCTTCAGTGTACTTTATAATTACCGGACTCACTCGGGAAAGTCATTTCATGCCGGGCCTTCTGTGCCACAAGGAAAAGAATGCAACAAAGAGGGCGAGAATAATGTGCGAAGATGGCAACAACAAATGGAATTGTTTCAATTATGTGGGACAACTTCTCGACTTCGTGCAGCGCAACAATGGCACCGGGGTGCTGCACATTGGCTTAAAGCGCCACTCTGCAGTCGTGCAGTCCTCGCAATTATGTCAGGACCAAGGACCAAGGACCAAGGACCTCGCACCACCGAACTCAGAACGGGTTGAGCCGGGCCGAATTAACGCTGGTGCTCCTCTTTGTTTCGCACCCAGCATGTTACACATATCTTGTTTATTGTGTCTCCGAATATAACTTGTGTATTTCCGTATTATAATTTGCATAAATTTTGACTACCAGCGACGGGTAGGGCAAAAGCGAATGAAAGAAGGGAAAGGAGCAAAGGGCAAAGGAATTGCGGTAGGAGGTGTCTCAGAAAACAATTTAATAACGAGAAAATACAAGTGACAAAATGAATTATGTTGTTGTTTCTCTTGCATAAACACACACATCAGAGCATCTTGGTCTGAGGAGACAATTGTAAAGAGATTCTTTACATGTTGCAGCAAGTGGGACTTGTGATACATGCAAAAGTAGAATTTCCACAAAATGAGCAGCATCTTGAACTA